GCGCTACCACGCCCGGCTAGTTTTTGATTTATTGTAGAGATGAGGTCTCACCAAGTTGCCCGGGCGAGTCTCGAACCCGCGGACTCAGACAATCCACTCACCTCGGCCTCCCAAAGTGCTGGGATTACAGGCTGAGCCATAGAGCCCGGCCATGATCTATCTTTTATAAATAGAGAATCGATTTCTCCAAAAGACAGGGTCTCACTCTGTCACCCAGCCTGGAGTACAGTGACATGATCACGGCTCATTGCAGCCTCAACATCCTACGCTCAAGCGCTCCTTCTGCCTCAGCCTCCCGAATAGCTGAGACTACAGGCGTGTACCACCAAGCCTGGCTAGGTTTTTGATTTGTTGGAGAGACAGGGTCTCGTTATATTGCCCAGGCTGGTCTCAAACTCCTGGGCTTAAGAAATCCTCCTGCTTCAGCCTTACAAAGTGCTGGGATTACAGGCGTGCGCCACCATGCCTGGCCTATCCCTTCACTGTGGATGGATATTTTTGCAGGATGTCGAATTCTAGGTTGGCTTTCCCCTACCGCTTTCAACACTGTAAAGGGATCGTGGTGTTGTCTCCATTTGTTTGAAAATATCTGTGCAGGTTACAAGCAGAGCAGGGGTGGGTGGCCAGTCAGACACACACTTACATGGCTGTTGAGTAAACCGCTTTTGTGTGAGGTGACTCCTTCGCTTTTTTGGAGGTTTTCAATCGCCATTTCAAGCTAAAGAAAATGTGTGCAGAAACAAAACAAAACAAAATGGAAAAAAAAAAAGGAAATCAGATGTTAGCATCAGCCAAGATTTGTTTTTATTAATATCCAAATAATGATTCAAGCTCCTACAAATAAAACCGAGGCTCACGCAGGCAAGGTAGGTGGTGAAGTTAAGCTGTGTGTTAAAGCCGGGGCAGGGAGTGTCACTCTGTCACATGCAAAGGAGTCCAGAGCCCGTCCAGCGCAAGCAGCAGAATGAAGTCCTATTATAGATACTCGCCACTGAGTTTTAACATGACATACGCATGTGCACATGCATGTGACATGTTAATGTGCAGTTGCTGCATGAATTCAAGTGTCACCCGCTCCTCTCCCCACCACATCTGTTGCCAGGGGGAATCGGGGACCAAGGTCAAGGACAGATGGTGGCCTTGACTCCTGGCCAGTCCTTCCCATCACAAAGCCCAGGGTCTCCCCACTGCTGGATGCTTCAGGGAACACCAAAGAGGCCAAAGACAGACCCTGCCATTGGGAGGTATCAGACTCTGGGCCACTGGCTACGGTCACGGTCATGGAGATCAGCTCCTGAACATGTATGAAGTGTGCAAAGAGGGTTGTGTGGAAAAGACACCAGAGTCCTGGAACAGAATGCCAGGGTAGCTAACGGCAGGTCTTCCTGGAGGAAGGGGGCTTTTGAGTTGGGCCCTAAAAGACCTGTCAAAGGTGGAGAGGAGAGGTAGGCAGCTGGTCTGTGCAAAGGAGGAAGCACCCGGCTGGGTGTGGCTGTCACTGTATTTGTATGGGTCAAATCTGACCTGAACTTGAACGTGGGAGAACAGAAATTTACAATGTGCTGAGCCCACCCTGATGGCCAGAGAGCTGTCACAGAAGGAAGCCACCTACAGTACAATCCTCCTTTCCTCAAGCACCAAGGAGGGCTGCGACTTCAACGGCACTTCTGCATAAAGCAGGTGGAGTATGTCATCCAGAGCCCAGGTTCCCCAGAGCCAAGTTCAAGTATGAGCGTGTGATCGCTTCTCCCATGGCCTCTCAGACCACATGGTTCTCTTCTCTCTCATAATCCACGCTCACTCTGGCCGAAGAGGACGTCGGTGTCCCCTTTCAGAAAAGCAGAAGGTGCAGGGGAGGACCAGGGGGAGGGAGGTCAGGATACCTGTCCCATCTCTCAGCTCCGGGGTGCAGGTGAGGTTGCCTACTCTGCGGCGCATGGATCGCTGCCTACCTAATGGGTGCCTGCGATGAGACTGCATGACTCTGAAGTCTGCCCCGTTCTTGGAGGGCCTTGTCTCCATCCCCAGCAAATAGGAAAGGGAGAGAAGACACCATCTCTCCAACATGGCGGGTCTCAAGCATTTGGTCCAATAACCCCTCACGCCATCAACAATTTTTGAGACCTCCCCCCAAAAAGAGGTTTTGTTTTTAAGAATTAAATCTATTGATATTTTCCATATTAATATTAAAATGAAAAAATTTTAAAATCTATGTATTAATTCATTAAAAGAACAAATCCGGCTGGGCTCGGTGGCTCAGCCTGCCATCCCAGCACTTTGGGAGGCCGAGGCGAGTGGATTACCTAAGCCTGAGGGTTCGAGACCAGTTCGGGAAACTTGGCAAGACCTCATCTCTACGATAAAATAAAAAATAGTCAGGCGTGGTAGCATGCACCTGTAGTTCAGGCTACTTGGAAGGATCGCTGGAGCCCAGCAGGCCAAGGCTGGGGTGGCCGTGAGCGTGCATGCCACTGCACTCCAGCCTAGGCAAAGGAGTGAGACTCCAACTCCAAAAATAAATAAATAAATAAATAAAAAGAACGAATCCATTATAGGTTAATATAATACTTTTAAGTGAAGAACAGCTACATTTTCCAAATTCAAAAAAGTTAGAGTCTAATTTTTTTTAATGTCTTTACAAAGTCACTGGGATCTAAGCATATGTTATTGTATTCCCATCTATTACCATATGCTGTTTTAATTAGGGCATATGAAAAAATCTAGTCTCCCACAAATATATAGTCAGTAAAGGAGCAGTGTTTTAATAGCTTTTTTAGGTCAGGTACAATGGCTCATGCTTGTAATCCCAGCACTTTGGGAGGCCGAGGTGGGAGGATCACTTGAGGCCAGGAGATCAAGACGAGCCAGGGCAACATGGCAAGACCCTGTCTCTACCTGTTTAGGTAATTGTGGCTGTTTTTCTCTGATACTACACCAACACATGACAATTGGTGGTTTTGTAAAAGTAAGCTGCCGTGTGGAATCTAAAACTACATCAATGAGTTTTTCGTACTCATTACATGGATATCCATTAGTCTTGAGGTAACATCAGTGAAAATGGCAGATTAGGGGACTCCGAAATCCATCCCTTCACTGGAGCAGTGGACACATAAGCAAAAACAATCAGAATCAACCTTATCTAAATTCTGGGAACTCATAACAATGCTATAGCAACCAGGTGAATCCTTAATCAAGAAAAAGCAGCCAAAACTTGGACATTTTTAAGGAAACCCCTGTCCAATCACTAGCTGACCACTACACTAGACCAATAGGGATTTCAGTGCCACACATGACAAAGTATACAGATTTTACAAAATTAGTTGAGAAGGTCGTTAAAAAAATAGTCAACAACAACTATTAGCAGCAACAACAAACCCTGGGGGTGAAGGAAGAACTTGATATCCAGAGTTGCCACATTATAACATTTAAAATATCCAGTTTTCTACAAAAAAAATGAGGCATGCAAACAAATGAGAAAGTATGACTCAACTACACACACAAAAGTGAAAGAAACAGAACTGTCCCTGAGAAAGCCCAGACGCTGGATTTATGATACAAAGTGTTTAAATCAACTATGTAAAAAATGTCTCACCAAACAGAAATATCAATAAGGAGACAGGATTGTAAAGTGGACCCAAATAGAAATTCTAGAGTTGAAAGTACAATAACTGAAATTAAAAAAAAATCACTAGTAGAGTTTCAACAGCAGATTTGAGGAGGCAGAGGAAAGAATCAGGGAACTTGAAGATGGGTCACTTGAGATCACTCAGTTTGAGAAGCAGAAAGAGAAAGAATGAAGAAAAATGAGCTGAGCCTAAGAAATCCAGGGATGCCATTAAGCACACCACCAAACACACACTGGAGTCCCAGGAGAGGAGAGAGAGAAAGAGGATGAAGGTGGAATTGAAGAAGAAATTTATGAAGGCTAAAGATGTCCACGCTTGATGAAAGAACTAAACCTACACATTCAAAAATCTCAATGAACCTCAAGTAGTATTAACTCCAGAAACTCACAGCAAGATACATTATGATCAAACTATTGAAAGACAAAGATGAAGAGAGAACCCTGAGGGCAATAAGAGCAAAGCAATACCTCACAAACAAGGGATTCCCTAATAAGAGTAACAGCTGATTTTTAATCAGAAACCATGGAGGCCAGAAGGCAGTGAAACCACATACTCAATGTGCCAAAAAGTGGAAAAATCCAAGTTTCCATTGACATATGGATCAACAAAATGTGGTTCACCCATAACACTGGAATATTATTTAGCCACAAAAAGGAATGAAGCACTGAAACGTGACACAATAGATGAGTTTTGAAAACAAGTATATGGAAGAGCCTGTCACAAACGACCACATAACACAGGATTCCATTTATATGAAATGCCCAGAACAAGCAAATCTACAGAGACAGAAAGCAGATTAGTGGTTGCCAGGCTGCACTCCAGCCAGGACGAGAGTGAGAATCCAACTCAAAAGAAGAAGGAGGAGAAGAAAGGAAATAAATAAATAGAACTAATTTAAATATATATTAGTCTCTCTTGCAATTTGAATGAATCTCTTACAGATCGGTATAGTTTTGTAACAGCATTCATTGGTCACTTGGAAAATATGGGTTCACAATGTTTTTCAAACATTGATGTATTTCATTAAACAGTATCAAGAAATCACATTTGTTAATGTTACAACCAAGCTCATCAGAAGACTTATTTTGTTTATTTTATTTATGTTTTCGAGTCAGAGTCTTGCTCTGTCACCAAAGCTGGAGTGCAGTGGCGTGATTATAGCTCATTGCAACCTTGAACTCCTGGGCTCAGGCAATCCTCCCGCTGCAGCCTCCTGAGTAGCTGGAACTACAGGCATGAGCCACCATGCTGTTAATTTTTTAATTTTTTTTGCAGAGACAAGGTCTCACTATGCTGCCCTGGCTGGTTTCAAATTCCTGGGCTCAAACAATTCTCCTGGCAATTCATCTACCTCAGTCCATCTAGGCAATCCATCTACCTCAGTCTCCAAAAGTGCTAGGATTATAGGTGTGAGCTACCCTACCCAGCCAGAAAAGTTATTGAGTTATTGACAACTTCTATTGAGAAGTTGTCCGGTTCCTGGTAGCAGACTCAAGTTTTCCAAAATTCTCATTATTTTTGTTTGAAAACTTGAATTTTATCATTGGCAACAAAAACCTACTTGCTGTCTTCTGTAGTATGTCAGGCTTACTTTGTTCATTTTTGAGAAAATGTCTGCCAAATACCTGATCCTGAATAATCACGGTTTGCCATTTTTTCAAGCAAAAGTGGAATTTTATGAAAACACTGACTAGTTCTGCCCACAACTCAAACAAGCGCATCAAGCTTTTCCTGGAGACGATCTCATACTTTGGTAGATTTCCCAGTTCATCATACAGAATAATGAAGAGAGGTATATTCAATGATTGAAGTTCAAAAGAATAAATAATTGCTACTGCTTCATCAGGACATTCTTTAATAAAACTAGGATTTTTTTTTTTCTCTCTCTTGTTTAAAAAACCTTTTTTTTTTTTAAAAAGTTTTTTTTTGAGTTGGAGTCTCACTCTGCTGCCCAGGCTGGAGGGCAGAGACCTGCTCACAGCCACCGTAGCCTTGACCTGCTGGGCACAGGAAATCCTTCTACCTCAGCCTTCCAAGTACTTGGAACCACAGGCACGCACCACCACCCCCAGCTAATTTTTTGATTTATTGT